GCAGGGCCAGGGGTTGGATTGGATGGTCCTTGTGGGTCCCTTCCAGCTCAAGATATGGTGTGATTCTATGATTCCACCATTTTTTGGGAAGCTGGGAGCTTCCTGCACCCTCGTGGTGCTGCACAGAGGTGCTCAGCTGGCCCGAGGGCCTCCATGGAAGAGAAAGTGCCGCCAGCAGCACAGAAATGACAGGAAATGCACCCCCATGTGTGCCTGGGTTTCCTTTTCGGTGCTATAAAGGCATCTCAGCACCCCTTGGTTTCAAAGCCCTGGTCCTTAGAGGCCTTTCTGCGCCGCTCGAGCTGCACAAAGGCTCTTCCTCACGGGCCCGAGGAGCTGCAGGGACGCTGGTGCCGACATGCCTGACGTGCACGTGGCCTCTCTGGTTCTTCAGAGCTCGGAGTCCAGTGTCAAGAAGAAGCTGCTGAAGAGGAAAGGGAAGACGGACAGTCCATGGCTGAAACCCACCCGCAAGAGGAGACGGAGGAATAAAAAGAAACAAGCCAGTGTTTTAGGTAACTAATCGTGTTTTGTTCCTTCAGCTGCACCCAAATCTGCCTTCCAGGTGGAGGGGGAAGGACCTGAGGCCTGTGAGTCTCTTCCTTCCCCAGGTTGGGCTGTGTGATAACCCAGGGTGTGAAGTGGCAGTCACTGCTGGTGCCACTTTAACACGTGAGGTGGCTTTGTCCTTGGCATGCTGGAGGAATATTGGTTTGTTCTTCAACTCCCTTTGTTTTAAAGTATCCAGAAAAGGTTTATAAAAAGGAGGGAGATGGACCTTTTACATAGATAGTGACAGGGAAAGGTGGAATGACTTTAAACTGACAGAGGGCAGGGTTTGATGGGACCTTCGGAGGAATCTTAGGCCCTGGCACAGGTTGCCCAGAGAAGCTGTGGCTGCCCCATCCCTGGAAGTGTTCAAGGCCAGCTTGGATGGGGCTTGGAATAACCTGGGTTGGTGGAACCCATGGCAGGGGGTGGAACTGGGCGATCTTTAAGATCCTTTCCAACCCAAACCAGTCTGTGATTCTATGATTCTGTGCCTCATGTCCATGTGGAGTCCTGTCCCATGAGCTTGGGGAGCATGTTTAGATGCAGAAGGAAAAGAAAGAACCACCAGTTGTGTTTCATTGCTTTTGTATGAATGTTTGTGCAGCTGAATGCAATGTGCAGGTTGGCTTTGCTCGTTCTGAAAGCACCACAGTGTTTGTAATGAGCTGCATCTGAGCTACCTCTGGCCCATCTCAAGTGCTCAGGTGGTCTCTCTTGTTTGTCCTGAGTTACCCAGCACTCAGAAGAAGGTTTCAGTGGCCTCTGTGGGCTGGGGAGAGCCAGGAGTGCAGGCTGGTTGTGATGTCCTTCAGGAAAGGTAACAACGTGTGTGAAATACAGTGGAGAGTCTTTGAAGTGCAGCTGTGGCTCATTACTAAGGTGTCACACATCCATTGCCACCCAAGGGTTAATTCCTCCACTCTTGCTAATTCAGTGCAACCAGGCCATTTTTGCATCAGCAATTTTGTGGCTAATTCTGAGTTACTTGACCAAATTTCAGCCTCTGGTCTGTGCCTGGGGTCTGTCAGTCATCTGGCTTGCTCCTCTTCCTCCCAGGATGAAGGAGAGGCCATTGCACCCTTTCACAGCAAACACCTAATCCTGCATTTCAGATGCAGACTGGTTTTCTGCCCCTTTAGTAGAAGTGGCAGCTGCTCTTCCAGGGTAACCAAACTCTCTTGGCCAAGCTGCAGTGGGAGAAGCAAATAGAGGGGGAAAGTCGAGCCAAGGGGGTGTGAAGTGATTGACAATCCCCATTCAGGCTCTGTGGGGTTTCCACACAATCCCAGCGAGGGATCCCCACTCAATCTCTTCCCAGTGAGGGATCCCCACTCAATCTCTTCCCAGTGAGGGATCCCCACTCAATCTCTTCCCAGTGAGGGATC